TGTGGACTCAATCATCTGAGAGGAAAGAACAAGAGTGGTCAATTGTTTCTGCTTAGTCATCATTACATGGGGAAACAGAGAGAAGTATGGCAACATGAACTACAAACCGCTAAAGACCCAGTATGGAGTATACTAAATGTAGCCGAAATAAATTATCAAGACATCCCACTCTCTGTTTACCGCCTGCAACGCTCCGACGGGACGGAATTTACCTGCAAGGAAAATGACCTTTATATGTTAAAGATGGATGACATCTATCATATGTATCTAGCCTTCCAGGAAATTCCAGTCACCTGGGACAAATCTACACAAGAGGGATTCAAGGCACTCAAGCGCTTCATGATCAGACAAGCCAAATTCTTCACTTCCCATGATCTTCAGATGGCCCTAGAAACAAATCTGCCAAAGACAAACCTCTCAAGACCAAAGCTTTACGGGCCAGAACTTGAGAACTATCCAGCCTATTACATCTTCGATCGCCCGTTAGCTATCATCTATCTGAACCACAAAGGTGAGAGGCGTTTGTTGGTGGCAGAAGAAATCAACAAGTATTGTGATGGAACGCTGAAGATCATTAAGGAGAAACTGCAACCTATCAGAAAAGAATTTGAAGAAAAACAACAGAAGTATGCAGATGCCACAGACGATGAACTAACAGAAGCAACCAGAATTGACAAAGTGTTAAAAGCCATCGAGAAACAACTTGACAGAAGAAGGTCTCTCAGAAATTACGAGCATGCATTAAATCTTAGAAAGCATTATTTTAAAGCTCAAAAGTGAAGAAAAGAAGAAGCAAGAACATCTGATCACAAAGGGGGAGATTGTTAGAGATATTTTCATTGTAATTGTGATCAATGTTACTTTGCTAGTTTATAGTTAGCTAGAATAATGAATAGGCCTTTTAAGGTAATTTTGTAATAAAGGTTTTATACCTTTTTAGGTATGGGCCTCCTAGAAAAAGGAGCCCAAATGATTGTAAAACCTACCTTTCCCGTCAGGTTATAAATATGCCTTAAGGGAAAGGCTAGGTTAAGCTTTTCGATATTCCTAGTGCCGCAGTGCCTATTCTTGTGTAAGGTTTTTACGCTAAAAACTCTCATATCATTCTGTAAAACCTTCACATCAATGGAAAGCTTCATTCCCAGATCTATCTTCCATACATACATATTCTAGACTAGAAAACAGGGACCTAACATCGGGCATAGGAATTCAGGACCACCCCGACGCTTCTTAATGACATCATCAAACCCTAACTCAACCCTCATCCTCCCACTCCCAACAGCAACTCACCCCAATCCTTATCCTATCCCATTTACAATGCCATTCGATGACCTAGCATCCATTATGCTAGCGAGAATTCTTGAAAACGAAGAAGCTCCACTCACTGACAAACAAAGAACTCTTTTTGTAGTACCTGAAACCGAAAGCACATGCCATGACAGTCTCCGCGGTCACAAACATTTGCATGAGGACTCCAATGATTCGGCTCCTCATGAGGGGGAGAATAAGAGGCAACGGATACTTGAGCATGGTGCTTCATCTAGCCAACAACCCCAACTTGAACCCTCAAACAACCTAGATTAAATGCAAGAATTCTCTCAAGGATGCAAATTTTAAGGGGGAGTTTTCAAAGTTCTCCTCCCAAGCGCCAAACATCGTCAAAGGCATCCTACTCAGTGCTCCAGTTGAGGGGGAGTACAGAGAGAGAATAAAGAAACATATCAATGAGAGAGATGTCCTAATGGCTTAGTAAACCCAACTAAGCCTACCCAAGGGACAAAGCCGAGAGTGAGTGAGTAACTGAGTGAATATTATGAGAGTGAGGAAGCAGAAGGCTCCGATGAGCAAGAAGACAATAATCAATGACAAATCTGCTACCTCAAATGAGCTATCAATCGACGAATCAATCCCAGTCACTCAAATACTCCGGACAATCCCCATAGGTTCAGGACTGAATTTATTCAGATCCCGGGTAGAAGTCGCTGCATTTTGTCCAAACAGCGCGTGCACAACCCTACCCTAGACCACTCACCTGTCTCCCAAAAGACAGGTGTTTAATCACTGTTCACGGGGAACCTCATCTCTTATCACCGTCTCCTTCTGAGGCGACTGATACTGACTACAGTGGCCCTCAGCCCCATGCCACTGAACTTTCATTGATCACGTTGTGTCTAGTTATCTCACTCCTAAATGTTTTGAAATTTCTAGGACACATACACATTTTAGAGTCAGTTGCAGGTCCAAGTGACCATGCGAGAACTTCCATAGGCTCATCTTCTATAGATGCAGACCGATGATTGGATGGAAGTCCTGATGTTGCAACATAGAAATCACCAACATTTTCAGGCCATCATTTAGAGTTCATCTCTATAGTGATGATAACGGGTGTCTACACGACCCCGGGGGGCTAGAATTATCCATGCTGATCCTAGTGATCATGCCATAACAACCAGAGTGACATCTACTTTAGATGTTTCACAATGATTGGTTGGAAGTCCTGTTAGATCTATAATGTTTCTATCATTATATACAGGCCACAAATCAATGTTTACATTGATGTTGTGTCAACGGAACACCACAGTGTCTCCGGTTCTTATCTTTTCATTTGTTTTGCATTTTCAGTTTTCCAAAATAAAAGAATAAAGGCAAGACATCCCGATTTATTGGATTGTCATAAAGGGGGAGAGTGGTCCACACGCTGTTTACTCTCAAAAATCATTCTCGGACACTTCTCTCCTCCAACTAAAAATGACGGCTCTCCACTCTTTCAGATTCATCAACTACCAAGTCAGCTTCAGATCTAATGGTCAGCTATGCTCACAAGTCAACCATCATTTTCCGCTGTGCTACCGACAATTGTTCCTCAAAAGCATTCACGATCGAGTAGTCAGAAAAGGCTACATTCTGGATGATACAGAGGCCGGATGATCAAATATTGAAGATGAATTCCTTGTGCGCCTAGATCTCTTCAGAACATCCATTCTAGAGGCGCCATATGACTTCATTCAAGCTGATCGAGAGCAGTTTCTGGAAAGCAAGGATTAAAAGCAAGATTTTGAAGAATTCCTCAACTCCCAGCATCAAAGAACAAATTGAATAAATAACACCAAGGGGGAGATTGTAAGGATTTCTTCATAAAGCCTTTCCAAGAAGACAAAAGAAGCTGAACTGAAAGAATTTGATCAACTAAAGCGGTGCTAGACGCAATCAATGCTCGACTCGAAAAGAGGAGAATGCTGCACCAATATGAACATGCTCTAGCACTGCAAAACAACTACTACAAGAGGCAGAAGGATCCACAAGAGCCGACAAAGAACATCTGATCACAAAGGGGGAGATTGTTAGAGATATTTTCATTGTAATTGTGATCAATGTTACTTTGCTAGTTTATAGTTAGCTAGAATAATGAATAGGCCTTTTAAGGTAATTTTGTAATAAAGGTTTTATACCTTTTTAGGTATGGGCCTCCTAGAAAAAGGAGCCCAAATGATTGTAAAACCTACCTTTCCCGTCAGGTTATAAATATGCCTTAAGGGAAAGGCTAGGTTAAGCTTTTCGATATTCCTAGTGCCGCAGTGCCTATTCTTGTGTAAGGTTTTTACGCTAAAAACTCTCATATCATTCTGTAAAACCTTCACATCAATGGAAAGCTTCATTCCCAGATCTATCTTCCATACATACATATTCTAGACTAGAAAACAGGGACCTAACATACTTTCCTTTTTGGGTTGTCCCAAAATGAATATCTTGTTTCCCTTTTTGACATGAAATATGTGGTCTTAATCAATTACTTTATTCTACTTAATCTCAACCACAACTTTTACTTTTCAACCACTTTATTAATAATTGTGTTCAATTGAAAGTGGACAACCATTATGAGACGGAGGTAGTAGAATCTAATAAAAACAAAAGGTATAAAAATAACTAAATAATTGTTATGTATAATGACATGACATGATTATGTGACGCTTTGTATGTACTTAAAAAATTTCTTTTTTATAAGATTTATCAATTGTTATATATATTGATTGATTTTATAAGATTTATCAATTGATATCTGGCCGCGGAGCAGTGGTCTGCTTTTGGCTAAGGTAGAGCGATCACGAGTTTTTCTCTCTAGGGCTTTGACTATGTTGGCCGCTGGAGCCTTTTTCCGATTTCGACTTTATCGAAGATCGGCTTTGTTATCCCTTGGTCGCTGGTGCTCGACTGGAGTCCAGGTCAGACGCGGAGGGCGGAGATCGGTGGAGGAGGGCAGATTTGTTGTCATGGCTCGAGGAGATCGGCGCTGTGGTCAAGGTTCGAGGATGCGGCGTTGCTGTCGTCGTTGGAGAAGATCGGCGCCGCCTGTCCGCTTACTCTGGTCGCACGGAGCAGGGATGAGTTTGGTTATGTAGGGACGGAGGATTAATGCATGGTCTTTGGCAGCCAAAGGTCATGGAGGATCAATTAGCATGGTACCAGTGGTACGACCTCCTCCTGAACCACCACCATGGGATGCACGAGGTGCTAGAGTTCGTGAACGTTTTTCTTGTAGTTTTTATCTGTTTGTTATTTGTTTTTTTGAGTCCATTTTTGTTGTTGGGTTTGACAGTTTGTTTGAGTTTTTTGCCTCTCTTTATGTCATTGAGTATGGTTTGATCTATGGGAATAGTTTTGGCTGTGTCAAGCCCACTACATGGTTAGCGATTCGTGTTGCTCTCTCAGGGGTGACCGTCTCAAAGTCTCACCATAGGGTTACAGTCGTAGTTGTTGGAGTTTCAGTTGGTGTCTGTTTTATTTTCCCTTTGCTTGATGTAATGATGCTGATGAATCTTTTGATATGAATAGAGGCATGTTTTGATGATAAAAAAAAAGATTTATCAATTGTATTAGTTTAATTTTTAGGTGAAAATGACGGGAATAATGTGTTTTCAAAATAAACTTTCTTCTTTTAAATATGGGAGCTCGAGCGATAGAATTTGAAGTGATAGAAGTGTCACCTTTCCGGTCACCTTTCCCCCGTATCAAATAAACACATTATCAAAGCTATGTTCGGTAGGTATCTTGAAGGAAAGAGTAAACAATACGAAACAGAGATGACAACATTTTTTCAGCTAAGAGCTTGTAATAAAAAGGGTAGGCATCTAACCCGAATTGAGAAGAAAAAATACAAACTTACTATTCTTTTTGCACATCAAGAAGTTAAGGTAATGATGATGATTGATTTGTACATATCTTCACATAGATGGGAGCTTCATCCTTCTAATTATCTAATACTACATGTCTACTAGATACCCCCTAATTCAACCTACTGCAACGTACAATGACGACATTTTTTCCACCTTCCCACTCCAAAAAACACAATGAAAGGATCAATCAGTCACACACGGTACCAAGATGTTCAATAGCATATTGAATCCCGAGGAAGCAAAACAAAAAGGGGATTTCATTTCAAGAAGTCTTGAGGTGCCACTGCCCCAGAAGCGGAAACTCTTGTGATCAAATTACTAATAGTCAAAACCAACGGGCGTGAATTCAGAAGGCATTTTCCTTTTATTCTTCTTCTTCTTCATTGATGATGATGATAAACCCAACGGTTCAGAGATGTCAGGGGCATTAGAGAGCAGCGGTCCACCCAGCCGCAAATCTGTATCCTCCTCATCTGAACCCACCCATGTGATTGGTTTAACTGCATGTGTATACGGTAGACACTAATCAAGTTGACGAAAATGTAGGAGGTTGATTGATGATGGAAGCAAGTATTCGATCAATAATGGACAACTTCACACTTCAATCATTTATACATACCTACTATTGTTTTATTAGGCCAGGGTATGAATGTTAAAGTGACTAGATAAAAAACAATAACAAAGATGGAAGTAAGTGAAAGGCAAATGCATCATCAGTTACTAGTTAGCATTGTATCAACTAAATAGGGTTCAAGGGAATACATCCTCTTTAATGCGTGTGTAATTTCTCACCCATTTATCTCTAACCGACAGCGTGAATTGCAACTCGAAGTCATCCTTTACTATAGCAATCCTGCACCTTTAATGACTGAGCCTCTGGGGGGGCAGAAATAAAAGAGAAAGGGTTGCCCTCTTCCTGAGGCAAAAAAGAAGAAAAAGAGGCAACTTTTCTCCCTTGATGCTAAAGAAATGGGACCATAATTTCCATTGGCACCCATTCTTTTTCACATTTCAGCTTATCTTCTAAAAATAACATTCACTTCTTTCCATTCTTTCTTATTTTTCTCCTAACATATCAACCAACTCAAGATTTTACGCTATTTCACTCTTTAATTTCTTTCTCACCCATTTATCTCTAGCCCAAACAAGGGCATATAGTTCCACCGCTGAAGCATTTAGTGAATACAAAATAAACAAGGTTTTCATGTTCAAAGTTTCAAACTTGTTCATTACCTTCAGAAGACTCGAGTAGTCCTGCTATTTGAGGAGTGGTGTCCTCTATTGAAGGTGTTGAGTGATGCGTACGTTTTTTCAAATAGTCTTTCTGAAGGGGTTTTGGAATCAGAAATGAAAACTGAGACATTTTAACACCCTCAGCTACGTACACTGGGTGTTCATCCAAGTACCTGTAAGATTATTTCAATAAAATAAAAGAACAACCATTGTTATGTGTTTAGCCATGTAGGCATGTATCTAGTCAATTATCTTGAAGGAATGCAATATTTCGTGTGTTGAAATCTATCAAATGAGAGAAATATACCTTTGAATTTCGACCATGGAACGTAATCTCTTTCCTGATGGCGCAACGTAATACCTGCATATATTATTTTATTAAAGAAAATCAAGACCAAGATAGAAGGTTTTGAAGAGCGAACACTGCAGACAAGGCAAACATGATAAAATTATAAGGGCATTTCAAAGAAGTATATTAAAAAGCAGAGGGGAATTGAAGCATACACATCCGCAAACTTGTAGCCACCTTCACCCCTAATTCTCAAAAGCCGTTCCCAGCCAGGAGGAGGCTGTGAAATATTTGGTTTATCAATCGCCCAAAGCCTACTGTCATCCTGAGTAAGATCAGGCGGATCATCACATGATATATCAGGCCTCCACTCACGGGCTGTTTCACAAAAGAAAGGATCTTCCAGTATGTGTTCCCTTATCTCCTCATATTTTTCCTTGGTTGGGATAAGCCTCCATTTAAAACAGTTTGCGCATTGAACAGTGAAAGCTCCTACCGATGGCAAAACCCTTTGTGCATAGGATGAGTGATTAGGAAATAACACCTTTCGTAAAGTTGGAGGAAGTGGTTGATCAGTAACAGGTTCTCCATTTACATAAGGATCGTACAGCACCAACTGGTTTTGAACATTTTCGTGCTCATCATCCTCTGTACAAGTATCAACTTGTTCTCCTCCAGAATTAATGTTTATGGGATTTTGAAGAGTAGTCTCACAAGCCACAGGGGAAGTACCCTCAACATCATTTGGTCTGCTTTTCATGATATCCAAGGAACCCCGGATAGAACTGGTAATGTGAATCTTAGTATTTCTCCCTGTGTGAGGATCCATATGTTGTTCCCTTTAGTTCTTATTAACCTGGGAAATGTGACACACTTTTTAACATATTTAGGAAAAAATCAGTACCTAAGAATATACAAAAGTGAAAAACTCATACGGTACATGTCAATTCAAAAGGAAGAATCTGTATAGAGATCAAACTAAAATATTCTAACCTCTAAATATGGACTTGTGAAATAATTAATTATTTCCCGAGTGATGCAATTGACATATGAGTGGTTCAAATGAATAATACACCTAGAGCTTGTCACATTTCCATTATTAAGCCAAGGGAAGAGAAATAAGAAATGGGAATGCAGTTACCCAGAAGGCCGCAATTCATTAGGAGTTCTCATCTAACATTAAGTGGTGCAAATCTCAACTAATCCATCTAGGGGTGGAAATGCAATAGTTAGTTTAAAACTCAACGAATATTTAACACTAATGACCATTATGTGAGCCCTAAAACAAGCAGAAGCTCCTGCTTTGCTAGGCTCTGTTTCGCACTTCTAATCTTCTCTCCTATCAGATCTTTTCAGCTGAAAACCACTAACGGCAGTGATTCATCATTTCCCAACTCATCTTCTAGTTCATTCTCTTCAGTATAGAAACTTCAGCCATGCACCACCCAAATTCAACCTACTAGTTAGCCACCACAGCTGATATCTACTACCTACTTTTAGGGTTAATTCTGTTGTCAGTTAGCTTTGTAATAGGCGTGTCTGGTTAGACTAGCTGATTCTGTAGACCATATGTGCTAATTAGACAAGTTCCTACTTCTGAATATGGGTTCGTCTTAAGAAACTGACGATCCGGGTTGTGATATGAACATAACTCGAAGAAACTATCCGAGAAGTAAGGTAAATGACAAAAAACAAATACTTGGTAGGGAATAGCAGCAAGTAAAAAATAAAAATCAGCATAAATTCAGTAAGTATAATATGACATTCTGAATACGGATCCAAAGGTACCTCAGAAGTAAACTGCCGATCACAGAGCTCATAACCCAGAAAACAAAGATGGCCAAGAAGTTAAGAACAATGTAGATACAAAACAACGCAAGAACAAAGAACAATTCGCCGATTCATAGTACATAAACTCGAAGTGCAAACAAATTACGCATTGCAATAACACACACAAGCGTGCAATGTAGATGAATACACGCTGAAACAAACGAATACACAAAATGTTGCACAGTTATGCAAACCCAATCCAAAGAAGAAAAGGAGAATTACAGAAGCGGAGAGTGAATGACAGTGAGCTACAAGGAAAGAACCGTTGCCTGGTATACCCCAAATGGAGTATCTTAGAAAGGATGTATAAAGTGCCCAACTCTACTTGGTTCTTTTTGCCTCGGCATCTGAGACAGAGAGGAAGAAAAAGACGAAGCGCGAGGTTACCGAGGAGATTGGGTTAAATTCGTATACAGTAAACACTATTCGTCGTTACAGTAAACACTATTCGGAGTAGTTCTTAAAATGAAATTACTGCTACTCTAAGCTCTAGCTTAGAGGATGTGATTTATTATTAACCAATAGATGTAAAATACGGAGTATGAGGGTAATGATGTTTTCTTTTGGACGGTTTTGAGTCTCGGACTAGACCAGACCAGACCAGACCAGATCAGACTAGATCAAATCAGACCAGACTAAACTTCTATACTTATAAAATACACAGAGACCAGACGTTTACCAGACCAAACCAGATCAGACCAGACCAGATCAGCAAATTTCAGTCCAAAAGAAAACATCCTAAATCACGGACCAAAAGAATTTTTTGGACCAACTCTAATAATTGACCAAAGAATATATTAGTATTTTAAAATTTGCTACACTTTTCTTCTTAAATGTATTTAGAAGTTTGTTATCCTTTCTCTTTTTGACAAGTTTTTCCGTTTTAAAAATATTCAAAATCACTCTTAATTTTTCTACCTTTTACGTTTTCTTTAATGTTTTTCTACCCTCGTATACCTTTTTTTACGCTATTCATTACTCATATTATTTCACTCTTAAATGGTGTGGTCAAACCTATTGTAATGAACTTTCAAATACCGAGGGTAAGTATTAACATTAGTACTGTATTGCTTTCACATCTTTATTATTTTAAGACAACATCTTGATTACAGAATTATTGTACTTTGTTTACATACATCAGAATATTTTAATTTAAAATTTTAAATATTAATAAATGATGAATTGGTTATTCAAACTAATCAAATACGGAGTATATTTTAGGTACAGTATTCTCCATCGTTGATACAAAGTCTAATGACATATATTAAAAAAAGTGTAAAATGTTTATGTCAGATATCAAATCGCATTATACAAAATGCAATTGCATGACAACATATGTCAAATATGTAAGTCATGTTACACATAATCTTAAAATCTTATAATCCTCAATGAAGGTTAGGGCAATTTAGGGATGAAAATAATGTTGGTGTAATCACTTGCTTTATTAGGTAGTACATTGTGTTTTGTGGTGTGTACTCTTTTAGAGGAATTTAATTTTCCGTTTCATTTCCGTCGATAGCTCCGGTCTTGTTAAACCTCAGTTTCGAACGAAATAGGGGATAAAAAAAGTCATCCCAAACGGAACTTCAAGAGCCATGGAGCTAGAGCTCCAGCCTCCAGGTGATTTTGGATCTCTAGCACCCCTAACCGTGATTTTGCGCAGAGCAGGTCTCATCCACGCGACCACTGCACGCCCTAGCTCCCGTCGTTTCCCTCCTCTTCCGCCAACTAGCTGCTCAGGTTTGTTTCCATGTCGTTTCTCCGATTTTTGCTCAGCTATGCTCATCTCCTTCCTCACAAGAGTATTTGGGTGATTAAGTTGAAAGGCATGATTTGATTAAGTCGAGACAGTATTTATGCAAAATAAATACACATTAATCACATTCTCAAGTTAAGGGTCCTAACTCTGCAATTCATATACTGAGAAGCATTTTCAGGTCAAATTATCTTTAGTATTTTGTCATGTGTTTAGCTTCTTCTTCACCTGATATATTATTTCAATCATTTAGTTATATAGTTAGTTGAGTTTTCCATGTTTTACTTTGACTCTAGCATGACTCATATACGGAGTACAATATGGGTGAATTGTCCTGAGCTTGTAAGCAGATTTTTGCTTTTCCGGATATCAATTTTCATCAAGACCATGGGAGTTCCAATCTGAGTCAATTAAACTTATCTAATGATGTAGTTGTTAGACAAGCCAAATAGAAAGGACATCACGAAATAAAATAGTTTTGAACATGTCAAGTACAAATGGCATCACAAAAATGAATTATAGTTCCCTGAATGGCTGAATGCTATCTGGTAGATCCCCCGAGTGTAAAAGTCAGTCCATATATAAGTCATTGGCCACTAGCCATAGTGCCAAACTATATAGAAGTCTCCTAAAATTAGTGTTACCAAGATGAAAATATTACAAATAGCATTCAGAGAACACTTTATGATATGAGTAATTTTAGATTATACGTAGTATTCATTATGTAGGACTTTTGTGTTGCCGTCGCCTGGTTTACATGTTTAATTACCTGAAAAACAGTGAAATAAAATACAGCTTAAGTTCGTTCTAATGGAGTATCTGATTTTATTCGCTTATGAATCTGATGACTTTGTTACATTTGCTTCATATAACTATCTTTTCCACAAACTCAATAAAGTATCTAGATACTTTTCAAGAGAAATAACACATTCAAGGAATAATTAGTTTTATATATAGAAACATTCTGTATAACAAGTAAGCTTTGCATATATTCAAGATATGCAGGTAGTTGGCATTGTGTGCTATAGATGGCTATTTTGCGTATCCAAACTATGGTTTATATTTGTTTTATCTTTTTAGGGCCAGTATGGTTGGGGGATTTTGGAGGGGAGGGAAGGGGAGGAGTCTTATTTAAATTTAAAATAATTTTTACATTTAGCCAAATTGAAATTAAATGAGGACACAGTAGTGTATGAAAATGCATATTTTAACAATTATATATTTATTTGTAGTTTAAAACTAACAAATTCAGATAAATTAATAAAGTAAAAAATTAATCCTTCCTCCCCTCCAAAATCCCCCAACCAAACAGGGGTTAAAGTTTACACTTTTTGTTTGCATCTTGCAGGTCAGGTGTTCCTATTCGAGAAATGTTTAGATTGTGTAGCTTGTGATTGTATGTATGTTTAAATTTGTAAATAAAATAAACCCAACTTTAGTGTGGATAACCGCTCTTATACTTGGGTTCTTTCAATAACTCGAACACGTGTGGACTGGTGTTATTCAACAACTGTAAACATATATAGAGAGGATATCTACTTTGATTCGATAGTGTACGTATATCAATAAAAAAATACAATTACTTTTGAATCAAATCCTTTCCATGATATTTGTGTGACTTTTTTTGTTGATTTTTGAACTATAATAACAATAAACAAAAATGAGATTCCTTTCACTATAATGATTCAGTGTCATTCTTAAATGAAAAAAGTAAGTGTTTACTTTACACAATATAAATAACATTGGGCACTTGTGCACTTGCGCAATGCGCATTAAAAAAACTAGTATAATCATGTGTGTCAAATGCATAAGTATTCTATGCAGTGTGTATTTATGTTATGTTATCTTATAAAACCTGAATCACATGAATTCGAAATATCAGGTAGATCACGAAGTACGAACCTTTTTTTAGAATAACAAAGTTTTAAGTCGTGAATCACTAGAGATGAAGAAAAACTCAGATTTATTCGTAATGTAATTTGATATGAAGAAGATTAAAGACGTGGTTAAACTCATAGTATTCTTATGAAGACTATATTGAACAAGATCGCAAAAAAAAAAAGGAAAAGAGCTCCGATCTAAAATTTCAAGGAAAAGAAAGAGAAGATTGCTACACGAATGTAGATTTAATCTTTTTCTAATAAACAAAATGACGTTATAATGAGATTGATATACTATAGGCAATTAGGCATGATATAATGGTTCGCGGACAGAGTAATTTGCTTTGTGTGTTTCACGTTCAAGCAAATTATCGTTAATAATAAATCGCAGTGTAATTTATTATTAACCGCAAATGTGCAGTTAAAAGCATAGTTATCTTCAAAAATTCATTTGAATGACTTCGCGATTGAATTGTTAGATTTGAATTCCACCGTGAACTGCCTCAAATGGCGACGACCAGACAGAGCCTCCTATATAAGGCCGGACTTATTTGACCTTTTTATGTAAGTTCGATAGCTTATTTGACCTTTTCCCCAAGATTAAAAAAAAAGAAAAAAAAAAAGAAGGAAACGTAACAAGTAAAAGCAAGAAAAGAAGAAAAGAAAAGACAAAAGAAAAAATGGGAATCAGGCCAAAAGGCAAAAGTGATTCATCCAAACAAAAGTACTTTTCATGATTTGCAATCTGTATTCTGAAATATGAATCGCGAATCACGAAAGGAAGCACGATTTTGATTCAATTATATAAGCGGAGCATTATCTCCGCATCGTAAGCCCTAGCCAGTTCTCGTCATGTGCTTCAGATTCTCACTAGGATCTGTTGTCCTTCGCCAATAAGTTGCAGAGTCCAAATTTAATTGTAAAAATGGTCGGCTATACGGTATAATTTACCTAGACCTTGTGTTTAGAAATTGAATAAAAACACAATATGATATTCCTGTAAAATATTCTTTACTAAAAATGTTTCCGTAAAAATGCTTTTTTAGGGACAAGGTTCTCTCGCTTCTCTCTAGGGCTTCGGCCGCTTGGAGTTTTTTTTCGTCTTCGATTTTGATCGAAGGACGGCCGCTTTTTCCGTCTTCGATTTTAATCGAAGGACGGCCGCTATTTCCGTCTTCGATTTTAATCGAAGGACGGCTGCTGTTGTTTGTGCTTCATACTCGAAGGGCGGATTTGCTGTCATGGCTCGAGGAGATCGGCGTTGTGGTCAAGGTTCGAGAATGATGTATTGCTGTCGTCGTTGGAGAAGATCAGCGCCGCCTATCCGTTTACTCTGGTTGCATGAAGCAGGGATGAGTTTGGTTATGCAGGGACGAAGGATTGATGCATGGCCTTTGGCAGACAAAGGTCACGGAGTATCAATTAGCATGGTACCGGTGGTAAGACCTCCTCCTGAACCACCACCATGGGATGTACGAGGTGCTAGAGTTCGTGAACGCTTTTCTTGTAGTTTTTATCTGTTTGTTATTTGTTTTCTTGTGTCCACTTTTGTTGTTGGTTTTGACAGTTTGTTTGAGTTTTTTGCCTCTCTTTATGTCATTGGGTATGGTTGGATCTATGGGAATAGGTTTGGCTGTGTCAAGCCCACTACATGGTTAGCGATTCGTGTTGCTCTCTCAGGGGTGACCGTCTCAAAGTCTCACCATAGTGTTACAGTCGTAGTTGTTGAAGTTTCAGTTGGTGTCAGTTTTATTTTCCTTTTGCTTGATGTAATGATCCTGAATCTTTTGATATAAATAGAGACCCGTTTGATGATCAAAAAAATGTTTCCGTAAAACTATAAAATTCATAAATAAATATACAAATAAAACAAATATCGAGGCCCATGACCACTAAGGCCTGATCCTTAGGTCGACCGCTCCTGAAGCTGAATGCAATTGCGCCAACCACATCTAGAAGGGGCTTGACTTATACTCCATTTATGTGATGATGAAGTGTCAAATAATTCAGAAGACTTTGGTGTTATCACAATGAACGAAAGAGACAATCGACCCTACACTCTTGACAGGCCATGCCACGCACCCACTCTATCTTCTCCCCTCCATCTTTCAATTCACATGTAAAACACATACAAAATACAAAAGCCACCCAGCCACACACATACTACCGTAATTAATGGAGATTGTTCGGTTCAATTCATCAGGGTCGTCTTAAGAAAATATGGAGGCCCTAGACAAAAATATATTTAAGAAATGTTTGTGATTGCTTCTACTCAAAAGTGTTTTTTAAAGTGGTTTTTGAGAAAGTGGTCAATATTAAAAACAGATAATATTTGAATAAAATTCTTTTTGAAAAGTAAAAATTGATAATATTTGATAATTTTTTTATATAATAGTAAAAGTCAAAAACAGTTTAGAACACTTTTCCACCCACTTTCATCATTTAGTTTTAGATGCTTAATTTAAGCAGAAACTATCGCTTGAAAATACTCATTTCAGTTTTTAAAAGCAAAAGGTGAAAAGCACAATTGAGTAACGCAAAGCTAGTCCAATTGGATATCATATTCATGTGATTTCTATAACACCAAAGTCCAAAAAAATTAATATCGGATAAATTGAGTAAAATCACACAATTTGAGAAATAAAGCACAATTGAAGTGCACCGTAAGGTTAAAAGATTTTTTTAATTGCAAACATACACAAAACGCACTTAAAATGCAAAAGTGAGTATTTTTAATTTGGATAACACATTCATCAAGTGTTTTTAAAGTGCAAAATTTATTATAACATAACTACAATCTGATCTGGGTAACACATTTATCACGTGTTATCTTACTCCCTTGACCTAATTGATTATACATACTAGTAATTTATATTGTCTTAAAAAACAACAAAAAGAGGTATAATTCTCCCAACATATAAAAAAACTATTCCATACGTATTTCAATTATTTTAAAGCATTGACGTCAAGTGTCAGTCCCATAAGGTAAAAATAGAATAACCAAATGAATTAACATTGACCCATACCTAATTGTAACGGTTTAACCTAACTAGCAAAATTTCAACTTTTACAATTTTATTAAAGTTATGTATACGTGTCAAATGTATAGTCCTTATGGGTTCTGTGGTTCAATAGATCGTATTTGGGGAAATCAAATTTTATTACACATACTACATAGATAATACTAAAGGTTTTGTCTAATTTGGAGGCCCCTAAAACTTTGGGGCCCTAGACATTTGTCTAGGTCAAATGGCCCCATGGCCGGCCCTGCAATTCATATTTCAAACGCTAACTTAAAACTCTCTCAATTGCAACTTACTTAAAACTCTCTCAATTGCAACTTTTTGTTACAATGATTCTGTCCAAAAACGTTAGGCCTGAATAACTATGTCGTATCTAACGTTTTCATTTATCGAAAACAGTAAAAAGGGTCAAACCACCATTTTTAATTATATTTGATTTCCCAAACACACGTCCCCCAATATATATATACTTCGTATATAGTACATACTATGTAATCAATGGGGATGTTTAGAAAATGGCGTTTCAGTCAAAAAATTGTGGTTGGACTCCTTGTAGCATTTTCAATAAATGAAAATGATACGGAGTATTTGGTAAATAGTTGTTTGGTCCTAGCGTTTTAGGATGAAACCACTGAAATAGAAACACAACAAATAGGAGAGTTTTGAGTTAGGGTTTTAAAATATGATGTTTCAATTGCTACTAATTTGTATGGTCAAACAACTAAATTGCCAAACATTTTTTGGTGACTCACCAATTTGTTCTACTAGTCAAACCCGCTCACTTAATCGGCAATCGACAATCTGCTAACATAATCCGCTATCCGTTATCCGCTAAATGTCAAAGACGCCTAATATATATTCATCAATCAGCATGCATATATCTTCTCCTCCAAACATTAATTAATTAGCTAACATATATGCCTTCTTCAAGCAGGGCAGCTCAAGTCAGTATTCTTGATCCTGTCACCAGCACAGCTCGTAATTACAGCTTTCCTGCGGCAGAACTTCCGGGAAGAGGTCCGTTCACCAGTTCTAGAGCTGAGGCGATACACAGAGGGCAGCGGGAACTCATGGAGATGGTGAAGAAGATGCCTGCCGCTGCTGATGATCAGTCGTCGTCGTACTTGGACTTATCCTTGAAGGATCTCGTCGATCACCCCACACCCACAGTTGTTGTTGTGGTAGATCAATCTCGACAAGATCAAAGTTTGACCAGCAAAGACTATAAAGAGAAAGCTTTGTTGGATCGTTATTATCTGCAGCCGGCAGCTATCAATAAGAGTAGTAGCACCGGGAAGATGACGCCGTCGAGAAGCCGGAAAGTGGACGAGAGGGGGCTGTTTCTGAAGATGGTGTTTCCGTTTTGCATGGGATCCCGAAACAAATGCAATATTCCGGCAGCAAATAAGAGAGCTGCCAAGGTTTCTCCTAAGCCGGCCGCCGCGGAGAAAGATGAAAAATCTATTAAAGGTGCTGGGAGTGTGAGTAAAGATTCGTTCTTGACAAATAAGATCTCATCGGGTTCCAACAGTAGCAATATCAATGGCCGTAGCAGCAACACGTGCACCACTAGGTATATATATACATGCAAGTTTGTTTAATGGTAGATTCTATGGTACCCATAAGGTACCATACATTTGTCCACATGGACCAATGAGAATGTTGCAGTTGAATTATTTAAATTTAAATTAAAAGTGATAAAGTGATGTGGTCCAATCAAATGAATGACAGGTACGGTACCCCCGTTTTTTAAAAGGGTACCGGAGTTGTCACCTTCTTTAATTCATCTTTTAATAAAAAATAATACGAGTAACAATTTTTAAAGAGTTTTAGTAAAGATTTCGAAATTAACATATTTTCTCTCGAAAATTTCTGTGTTTGATAATAATAATCTATGTTTTTTCCCTTCGTTTATTAGATTTATTTATTATTTATATTTATATACGGAGTATTTATCATATTGATGAGTGTATGCGCTCCTTACCTTTGATGAAATATTATTGACTAATATGTTGTAGTCATGCATGTAGGCTTAGTAGTCATGTAGACCACCGAAATAAATAAAACCTGATTTTGTTTTGTGAATGTAAAGATATTGAGATTTGAGATTTAAGACCGGAAAAGAGTGAAATGAGCAAAAAGATTTGAGTTATTAACAATATAGTAGATGTAATTAAGTTTACATTTGACTATGAGAAATGGTTCCATATAGGACTACAGTTCTTGGTATATACTCAAATAGGACCTAGAAGTTTTTAACTCTTAAATAGGACCATTTTTTCCGTGCATTCCAAATTTACCCTTTATTCATTATTTGCGCCTAAAGTGTCCTGAACTCCAGAAGTTCTCACGCAAGGATCCAAATCTCTCTCTTATGAATGGACGGTCAAATGCTCGCGTACGCGAAGGGAAGGCGACGGGAAGGGTGCTGGGCACCAGCGACACTGTGGCGGTGGGCGGTGGCGACTCGGGGGTATGACATGGTGGCACGGCGGCGGCAGAGAAAGGCCGATTGTAGAGCAATCTGCGTGGCGGCGGCGGTGACGGGATAACCATAGGGTGGCGGCGACGGGATGACCATAGGGCGCCGCCTGGAACCTGAAGGCTTTTCTTCTCTCCTCCTTCTCTTTCCCCCTCCTGCCTTCTTCGTTGTTGTTGGCTTGTTCTATGGTTATACAGAGTTACATTCTATACTTTGATTTTTTGCACGGCTTTCATTTTGCGATGCACCTTTTTTGGTTTACTTTAATTTTAATTAATATTCCTCTCTATTTCCTATATCTATTTTGTATCCCCTGATTGCGTCATTACATATATTTAAATGATGTGAATGTTGGAGTCAATATTTGTGAGAATGTGTGTGCTAACATATTTTCAGCATTATGACTTGTTTTAATATTATGACATAGTTTTATAGGGCCAATGAAAGTGATGTTGTCAAATTTGTAACAATTTTTTGACATTGTGATACGATTTTGGACATACGTTTTCCACATTGTGATGGTTTTCGGACATTGTCAATTTTTTACAATGACAATACATGACTATCTCAATGTCATTAAAGAGCAGAATCACACTTCTTGATAATGTCACAGTGTTAATATCTCAACGTCACATACATTGTCAATGATATTTTGATATTTGTCATCATTACAATGTTATTTTTATAGCATTGGCATTTTTATATAACATTGTCACATATCTCAATGTCATTGTCGAAAAACAATGTCACTTCTTGGCAAGGTCATGATGTCATTTTTATAGCATTGAAAATGACATTGTCATTATTACAATGTCATTTTTTAAATCATTGACATTGTCATTTTTGCAATGTCATTTTTTGAGAGTTTGTTGTTGACATTGTCATTGTCATTATTGACATTGTTACATTTTTCTTATATTATACTTTGTAATACATTGTTAGCAATGTGTTTTTCTACAATAGCAATGCAATTTTTTACTTCGTATATCATTAGCATTTTTTGATAATTTTTGTTACAATATGTTACTCCGTATTTTTTTTATCGCATTGATGTTACCATTATTAAAATGTCATTTTTATCGAATTAACATTACCTTTAACATTATTTGACATTGTGACATTTTCCGACATTGTGAAATTCTTTCCTAACATTATAATACATTTTTATTACATTAAAGGAATGACATTGTCACGACGGTCATTGCCATCATTATAATGTCATTATTTATAACATTGACATTGTGTTCACTTTGACATTGTGACACTTTGCTCTATATTTTGGTAATGTTTATATATTGTGACGTTGTTTATTGCGATAATGTTTATAATGTTAATGTTTGACTTTGTGGCATTTTTTATATTATGATATTTTCCAACATTTTTATCACATTATTAATTTCTTTATTATTACAATGTATTAAAAATATGACAAAAGACACGTAAATTAATTTGACAAGTGAAACTAAAAGAAATTGAAAACCACGAGACAAGACAATGACTAAAAATGATTTTCTAGAAAATTAATTTGATTAAATAAACTTGCAAAATAAAATAAAAATAGAAAAGCAAAATTAATACTTCGTATTAAGAAATTGAATAGTGAAACATCAAAAGACACGTATAGCGGAAGTTGTGGTGCAGACATGATAAAAGAGGGGAGATAAAAGAAACAGAAGAAAGAATGAAATTGCAACTACGGAATCCTTCGTCTTGGTGCAGACTTGCTTTGAACATGGAATAATAGTCGCAAATAAGACCACCGTGATCCCTGTAGAGCTCGCATGTTAAGATGGAGACTCAAGAAGAAGAAGAAGAGGACGACTCAACGGCGAGGTGCGGCCCAGCAGCAACGGGGGAGCGGCAACGAGGTGCAGCCGAAGCATAGACAAGGTGTAGCGGCGTCGGAGAGGTATGGCGACAACGGCGGTGTGTGATGTTGGCGGCGACGGTGAACTCAGATGGCCGGTGTAGATCTAGCAGGGAGTTCTCTGGAGTTTTGCCTTTGAGTGCAGCGAACAACAAATAGCTACAGATCTAGCAGGGCTTGACCGCGTGAGGCTATTTTTGTCACTCAACTTAAAAGTAGTCCTATTCACGGATTAAAAAGTAACGAGTCCTATTTAGATTCCTAAGCTTTGTTTTAGTCCTATGTATGTCTTTATCCCTTTGACTATTGTATATAACAAAATGAGTACTTAAGTTCAACGCTAAAGAAAATGGATCACTGCCCACAGATGTGAAAGTCTTATAAGGTAAAATATCAGATGACACTTGCAAAGAACTGCTTAAAATATTATGTTCACAAAAAATGTTTAAACGGTTGAAGTATTGTATTCATTTTGGTAATCCAATTATATATTGGACGAGGCCAGGGAGGGTCTACGCCCCACCTAAAAAAAATTAAAATTTCTAATACATATAAATATATATATATATATATATAGGAAATCTTTCCGGTAAGGTATACCTTACTGGAGCCCGCACAGAGGCTCCAGTAAGGTATACCTTACCGAAAGAGTTCCCTATATATATATATATATATATATATATATATATATATATATATATATATAGAGTGCTCTTCTCATCAGGCCGGCCTGACGGGCTGCTCCGTCCGGCCGAGCCCGTTTGGGCATCTTCCCGGTGGAATTTTTTGATGAAATTTTGTGAACATGTTCCTCATCAAGTCTAGTTTGTCCATACCGAATTTCAGCTCAAAATTCAATCGGGAAGGCATTCAAAACAGTTTTTGAAGTTGATTGCGTCAAAATATACATATAAAACTGCAGTCAACTTCAAAAAATAATTTGAATGCCTTCCCGATCGAATTTTGAGCTGAAATTTGGTATGGACAAACTAGACTTGATGAGGAACATGCTCAAAACATTTCATCAAAAAAATCCACCGGGAAGGGGCCCAAACGGGCTCGTCCGGACGGAGCAGCCCGTCAGGCCGGCCTGACATGAACATTCCTCTATATATATATATATATAGGGGAGGGTTCTAGTGAGAACCCCTCTTAAAATGAGAACTCATGAGAACCCTTAGAACCAGTGGTATTTTTAGCTGAAATTTTTTGTGTATGTTCCTCATCAAGTATAGTTCATCCATACCAAATTTGAGCAAAAAAATCAATTGGGAAGGTTGTCAAATGATTTTTTGAAAGAAAATTGCGTTTTATATGTATGTTCCGGACCAGTTTTCTTTCAAAAATCATTTGACGACCTTCCCGATTGAATTTTTTGTTCAAATTTGGTATGGATGAACTAGATTTGATGAGGAACATACACAAAAAATTTCAGCCAAAAATATATATATATATATATATATAGAATATATATATATATATATATATATATATTCTATATATATATATATATATATATATATATATTCTATATATATATATATATATTCTATATATATATATATATTCTATATATTCTATATATATATATATATATATTCTATATATATATATATATATTCTATATATATATATATATATATATATTCTATATATATATATATATATATATATATTCTATATATATATATATATATATATATATATATATATATATATAGGGGAGGGTTCTAGTGAATATATATATATATATTCTATATATATATATATATATATATATATATATATATATATATATATATATATATATATATATTTCTCTGTATATATAATTCCATTAAGAAATGATATAAAAACAAAGAAAGCCAATTAGTGTACAATTGATAGGTTGGCAAGATGGAATTCGATTGATGCATAGTGTACAAATTTCACTTTCTTTCCTTAAATCTCTTTGTCCTTCATACGGAGTATCTATTTAAAATTAATCTTCTAAGATCAATTACTACAAAGCTAACACCAATTGATCTTGAATGTTAAATGAGCTAGACACTAATATTGTGAACACTATTGGCCTTTTTGAATATCAGCCTGAAAAATTAATTTGTTCAATTCATTGGATTTGATAGGTGAAAATTAGTTCAATGTGTATGAGTTTGAGGTGTTTTTTGCATTCGATAGAAATTCTTATTCTTGCTATATTTATTTTTGTCTTTGACATTTATGTTGCAATAGATTTTATTTTATATTTGAAAATAAATCTTATCAAATAAGATACTATTTTACAACATTTTGACATTTTTTTGCAATATACGTTATTTAATTAAATTTTGGCTGCACCTGAATGGCGATGCTGGATCCGCCCCTGATCACTATCATAAGGATTTTAATTAAATTGTCGATCGATCTGATTGCCTCAATTAATGTCATAGCCATTAGAGACGACAAAATGTGTCGAGTCAGGGCCGATATATAGGAGTGATAAGTCGAAAATATGGTTTAGTTAAACGAGTTCAAAACGTATTTAGACTATTGATATACTTAATTCATTTGTGGTCACAACTCACAAAGTATGAATTATATATGGAGTATAAAACTATACTAGCTATATGGTACCATTTGTACATTTTAGATGAGAAAAAAGTTTTTTCTTAATTTCCCATTCATCATTCATGGTATTTGCAGAAATTTGAATGAGTGTGATTCAAGATATTGAACTGAAGTTCAGTATGTTAGGATTGTTAGCGATATATGTTGGTATATTGCAATTCTCTAATCAGCTAATCTGATCTGTGTGAAACAATGCAGGATGATGGGCAAGAGCTATTTGCCCAGAATAAACTTCAGTAAGAGCAAATCATCTTCAGCGTGAAACAAATTTAAGAGGAGGCAACGTAACACTGGCTTAAATTGCAAACCTGTTGAATAGAATTGGCCGATCGAGTAAGATTGAAAATGGGTTGGAGGGATGTAGGACTCGTTTGGCGGGGTGTGTACTGTGTAGCTAGGCTAAATATTGCAATTCCCCAAAAGAGTACATTCTTGTTTTTTTGTTTTCTTAATTCCTAAATATAGTGTCACAACTAGTCAACAAACTGGTCGGTTGAGGTTCTATTAATGCCTGCTGAGACCCCCAATGATGCAATGTCATTAAACTATTGTTTGCTTATGTACATACTACGTGATACTTGGAGCCCGTTTATCAATAAAAATGACAGAATTGAATCCGCTGATCAAATTGATTAAATTCTAACCAAAGTGATTGAATGTGTTAAACTATGAAGAAATGTATTTAAAATATAAAGTAAAGAAAAAACAATTTGAAAAATAGCTAAACTTTTTTTCTTTTTATTACGGAGCATTACACAATGCATCACATGAATCAAAAATTACTTAATAGTAGCATTTAGTCGATTTAATGAAATTAATTAAGAACAATAACTTGTAATTCGAGGTGAGTACTCTCGAGTGTCACAACGAGAAGGTCAAGTCTAGTTATTATATCTAACTCATGCATTAAAGATAAGATTGATAAGCTCAATGCAAGCAACTTTTTGGTTCAACTTTTTTTTTTTTGGTATAAAAAAAAAACTTTTTGGTTCAACTAATATACTTAATCCATTGTTGATTATTAACTATGAGACACATGCATTAATAACATAAGACTATTGCTTATGAAAGAACCTAAGTGAATAACTAGCATATTCATTGACCGATTCTAGTAATATTCAATACCAAAACATCAACTAAACAATCACTTAGGATGTTTTTACTTGGACTGTAATTTGCTGGTCTGGTCTGGTCTGGTCTGATCTGGTCTGGTCTGGTCTGAACTGGTCTGGTAAGGTCTGGTTTCTTTGTATTTTTATAACTATCCAAGTCTGGTCTGGTCTGGTCTGGTCTGAACTGGTCTGGTCTGAACTGGTCTGGACTGGTCTGGTCTGGTCTGGACTGGTCTGGTCTGGTCTGGTCTGGTCTGGGGAAAATTACAGTCCAAGTAAAAACATCCTTAGTGATACTCGGATATGAATATGAAATATAAATAGAGAAGTAATTAATATTCAAGAGAGGATGAGAGTAAAATTAAAGTAACTCACAATTTGCAAATCACAAACTTCAATATAGCAAAACCAAGCTAAGAGACTACCTAAGTTACTAGGATAAGGATGGATGATTGATTGGTATCCAAAATGGGAAGGAAATGAGTGTATTTATAGGTGTTTTCATGCTGCATGGTCACATACCCGACCGAGAATCTAGGATACTTGACCGAGTATCTATGGCAGCAGCCCGAAAAGTATTGTGCTTAAATTTAATTAAATCCCACAGGGTTTTTCCCTAACCTGATCGGGTTTCCTAGCAAATAAGATTTTTCCACGTCAAGTTCTCTTGCTTTTGTTTGATTTCGTATGATCTTCAGGTCAAATCATACTTGATCCATACTAAATCTGATATATCCGACTGCATGTGTTACTAAATCATATTTTTCTTCTTTCTTTGTCTTCCATGAAGCTTTTTTTGTCTTCAAATTCCTTCCCGTTCAAATTCCTTCCTTATGCTCTTAAGTGATTTAATCTTACTTTTCCATCATACTTCTTACTTATATGTCAAATCTTTTAATATATTCTAATTCTAGTCTTAATATATACCCTATAATGTAACATTATTCTAAAATTTGTGTGTATGCATTATTAAAGAGCACATATCAACTACACACGATTAAAATCTATGAAATGTTGAAATGTGAGATTTTAATTAGTCAGTAAAATCGTTAAAATCTTGTATACCATCCATCCATCACCATTCACCAACGCTCTGTGTTCCCAACAAAGGATGAAAAAGACTTGACCTTCCAAATTAACTGACCGGATGGGGCTGGCTTCAAGGCCACACGAAATTTTCAGAACCAGACGACAAATCATATGACCCCCAAACATCATCGTTATCAACCGCAGCCGCCGCAAGGCACGTGGACCCTCTAGCTCCCGTCCAACAGTCAACGTCACCTCCGACGAATGTCCCGAAATCAGCTTCAACTTGCTGCGGCTGCATCATCATCATCACCGGCGGCTGCCACTCCATATCCGGCGGCCCTTCCGGCGTTGACCATTGACCACCGTCCTCGCCGAGCAAGAGAGCCTGCAACTCGTCGTGAAGCTCATTCCGGTCACAACCATCCACTCCAAAAACGCGTTCTTCGCCGCCGTTGATAAAAGCTTCTTGATGAAGGCTCCCTTCTCCCTGCTCCATGAACATGGGAGCAGGAGGGAAGCCTCGTTGACCACTTCCGGAATGGTCAGCATGAGTTGACTCGCCGGGGAAGTGAAGGGCGTCGAACGGTGACGTCGCGATTGGAGAACGATAAGGCGGTCGCTCGGCTTCCGGCCGAGAGGCGGGTTTAGACGAGCGTCGGCCCTTCCGGCAGCCACCGCCGACGGGGACGTTGCGGAGGGAGCCGCCCTTGGTCCAATACCGGCGGCAGCCTTTGCAGAAGTACCTGGGCTGTGAGAGGCTGTAGTTGTTGTAGTAACAAAACTTTGTATGGGTAGAGGCACACCTGGGGCAATTTGGAGCGATTTCAATGTTGCTTTTCCAAATCCTGTCCATAATTGTTACAAGACTTATAGCTATAACATCAAAAAATAAACAATAATAATTCTCCCTAATACCTAGTTTTATTCTTTTGAATGATTTGCCACTCCGTTATTGAAATTCTCTCGATCACTTCACAATATTCAATTCTTTGATACCATGCATGATCCATCATAACTAATGGGAGAATGGATCAGCGAGCTGCACAATGTGTGTATATATATAAACACACAAATGTTCATGCCGGGAATTTAATTCTTGACCGGAATGTCGTCCCGTTACCTCATTTGATGTGCTTTCGGAGCTGTAGGTGAAATTTTTTGATGAAATTTTTTGATAATTTTTTTCACGGAGTGTAAATTCTGTACACCAATTCAAATTTCAATTTAAAATGAAATTGGGAAGTTAATTTTTTATTAAATGGGAAGGTAGTTAAACAAATTATTGAAAATCTTGACATTTTTACTCTGTATATATCTTGGTGCAATGTTTTTCAATAATTTGTGTAACTAACTTGCCGATTAAATTTTAAGCTTAAATTTCACGGCATCTACATTTCATGAAAATATTCTCACAAAATTTCATGAAAAAATTTCACATAAATGCACCTGAAATGGAGGTGTCCGGACGGCGTTTCGGTCGGAACACACATATACACACAAGTGTGTGTGTGTATAACGATTCTCTTACATTAGATTTGATAAATGTGCATCGATATAAACAATTGAATAATGCGACTAAGTTTTCATAGATAAACTTAGAGTTAATTATCAAAAGAGGACTAAAAGTCATTCACTTTGCACAAATAGGACCAAAAAATAAACTATGTTTCCATAGGACTAATTATGTTTGTCTTGGACAAATATACCCTTATACCTATTGGAATGTTTTAATTCATAATAAAATAATAAAAAATAATAAAAATTCGTAAAATATACCAAAAAATTAATAAAAATATTCTGAATAATAATAAATTTAAAAAAAAAAATTTAAAAAAAAAAATAAAAATAAAAAAAATAAAAAAAAATAAAAAAAAAATCAAAAAAATATTTTTTTTGTCACCGCCGCCTATACCGCCCCAGCACCACCACCTCTAGTCATTTGGGGAAAAAATGCCAAATTTATTATGAATTCCATATTTTTGGCATAATTCAGAATGATTTAAGATGGAAGAAAAAAAATGTTGGCATTCTCAAAGAGAAATATGCCATATTTTTGGCATTTTCCAAAAAAAATGGAAGTTTGTAGGAAATATGACATTTTTTTTAACGGTCGGAAGTGGTGGTGCAGGGAGGCGGTACCACCACCTCCTGTCACCGGGGTAAAAAAAATGCCAAAAAAATTATGAATGCCATATTTTTGGCAAAAGTCAAAAGGATTCAAGTTGGCAGAATGAAAATGTTGGCATTCTCATAGAGAAATATGCCATTTTTGTGGAATTGAAAAAAAAGTGGCATTTTTTACACCGATCGGAGGTGGTGGTTCAGGGAGGTAGTACAGGCGGTGGGAAACGTATCCATATTTTTTTTAATTTTTTTTATGGAGTTTTACTATTTTTTATTAATTTTTTTAAAAAAAAAAAAAAAATTAAAAAAAAAAATTGTTTTTCTTATTTTTTATTTTATAAAAATTTCATTAATTTTTTTATTATTTTTCTACGAATTATTGAAATTTTTTCGAATTTATTATGAATTAAACATTTATTTATGACTTTTAGCTATCTTTTACTAATATTTAAAGGAGGGGTAAGAATGGAAGGAAGAAATGAGTATGTTTCCAATAGGACCACTATGGTCCTATTTTGGAAAAAAAACATAGCAAGTCCTATTTTGAGTTTTTGTTATAGTTTTAGTCCTATTTGAAGTAATTTCTAATAAACTTAACACTTATATTATCATGAACTCTGCATTAGGTAAAACACAGATGTGAAACAACCATGCTCACCATAAACGTACTATACACTACTAGTAGTATATATATACATTTGGGATCAAATTAAAATATGACATAATGAGATAAATGAAAACAAATGCGATGTTTTATATATGAAAATTTTACATTCTCTCAAAAAAAATTATACATTCTCTAATCGGATGTTTTTTTGTACACACTGTTTTACACATCGACTGAATTGCATGTGCACAAACAATTATTTTTCATTTTGTGAAAATAATTGTTTTGCACACCCACAAATTTTTTAGTCTAGCCAAAAACAGTTCTCTTCACAAAAGGAAAAAACTATCTGTGCATATAGATAATTTGACCGAAGTATAAAATTGCGAGTATAAAAAATGTGTACACAAAGATGATCGATGCTTGATTAATAGTTGATTGATAGTGTACAAATGTACAATTATTGAAATACTAGTTTTGCGTCGCGCGTTGCGCGATTACCAAAATGCCCAATAATTTTCTACTTGAGGTAAAATTTTGGTTTAGTTCTTGATTACGGAAAATGATGCAGAGCATTATACATGCAAATAATTCTTGTAGTCTAGTCATTGATAAAAACATCTGCACACAAAAGAGTATTAATCACCGTATTGCATGCCCAAGAACTGAGGGAGTCGAATCATGAGCACAATTGATTTATAAAAACAAAAACATGATAAAGTGTAAAATATCATCTATCAGACAAAGCCCTTACCATCATGGTAAAAGTGGACCATAGGCATTATCTGTTTAGTATTAATAATATATATTTTCAACATTGTTTAGAAAGTGTGCTGATTGCATACTCTACCACGCGCCTCCTTAAACATACATCATAATTACAAACACCCAGTATGCTTCAAAGAGGTGTATGTATTGTTTACAAATTAAGTTCATGCTGGCAGAACTCAAATCTTATAAACAAGGCTTAATTGGTTAGATTTATTACAAGCACCTGGCATGATTTAAAAAAAAATCTCATCATTATAGTCTAAATGCACATTCTTTTAAATCAATTGAGATCATTATCTTCCAAAAAAATAGCTTTTTGAATCAGAATAGTAGCTAAACATGCACAACAATGAGTTACCGCCTATGCTTAACCTTTTAAGCCAATGGTGCGGGTCCATAATTGGCGGCTGATCATAGCTTCAAATTAAACTACAACATAATTGGTGAACAACAATTATTACCGCTTGAAATGAACATTTAAATGATGTCATTAAATTATAGAGTGCGATCATACCCACCAGATGACGACACGAGAGAGTAAGGTGGAACCAGAACGTACAATATTTAAGGGGGCTAAGAAATTCATCAAAGTTCAAATACTGAAATTGTAAAACCGTATGAGAAATACATAATACCAAATGTCTTATATTGGGTTAACTATTAATAGTTAGAAGAAAAGACAAGTGGAGACAATTGTGTTGGTGTTTTTTTTTGAACGGTAAAATTAACACTTCTGGGACGACATTCTCTATTTGAATTTCGGAAACTTCTTTTTATCTTTACCGTACGATTTTCGAGGGTAAACGTGACCAATCGGCCTACAAAAGGACTCTCTTAGACAGTGGTCATAAATTATACGGAGTACTCCGTAATAAGTAAACATAAACTTATAAAGAATGACTAAAATAAATTATGAAATTCATAAATAATACATAGTAGTCCGTATTATGTAACGTAATACAGAGTACTCCCTCCGTTCTTTAATATAAGTCCTCTTAGGCTTTGGCACGGGTTTTAAGAGGAAAATAGTAGGGGTAGTGTAAAAGGTGTAATGAGTAGTGAGTAAATGAAAAAGTAGGAAAGAGAAAGGGGTAATGGTAATAAAAGTGGGGGTATAAAGGTATATTTAAAGTAAAAACTTTCCTTAAATGGAAAGGAGGACAAATAAAAAAAAACGTCCCAAAAAAGAAAGAAGGACTTTTATTAAAGAACGGGGGGAGTATAACTTATTACGGGGTCGTTTTTTATTTACTAAAGTAATTGTGAAACCTTAAAATCTGAAAAGTAAATAATTAGAAGAAAAAGTTTCCCTAAACTAATATTATTATAAATTTATAATCACAAGCAGCAAGCTAATTGGCAATTGGGATTCTCAATTCGAAAAGTTCCGTAATTCTCAATTCTATCTAAAAGGCAAAGGTCAAACACCGAAACGCCCAAAATACAAATAATATAAAATCAAATACCTAAAGCCATAAAATAATAGGTTGAACATTTAATTAAATTACTGGTCGTTCGTAGCCTCGCAGGGATCGTATTTGAGACTAAGATGCTTGAGGCTTCGCCGCTTCAGCCTCCAATCCTTACGCCGCACAAGTCACAGAAATCTCAATCGATTGCAGAACATGCCAATTGTCCTATCTTCGTCGATAATTCACTTAACCAAGAAGTGGACCAATTTAGAAGCACGAATTCAGTTCTTTAATTATACGTGCATCTAGTCTAGAGAAAGTTGGGAGAATAAATTAAACGGTAGGTTGGGAGGATAAAACGTTAACGGGAGAAGACAATTGTCATTGGTATGAGCACAAGACTAAAAGCTTGATGTACAAATAGAATTAGCACTAACGTTACACTTAGATTTTTTTAATACCCAAAAGGCCCAAACCCTTATTGGCTGTTATAAGTTTTTAGATATGGTACGTCGCCATTGTAACTGTATATTGGTAAATCAGAGTATCATACTAAGTATAAAACAAAATGGTACATAATAAAATAATTACAGTAATATATACTCCCTCCGTCCCATAATAAACTTCTCAGTTTGACTTCACACAGATTAAGAAAATAAATTTGACTTTATTGTGGAGTGCACTGTTTTGCACTATTTAAACACTGTTTGGACACTGTTTGGCACTGTTTGACACTGTTTGGCACTTTTTTATGTAGATTATTTGCCAAATAAGGAAAGTTTTGAAGTGTAAAGCTAATTTTGGGACTGCCCGAAAACGAAAGTGAGAAGTTCATTTTGGGACGGAGGGAGTACGTTCTGTTGGAGAAGGAAGGGTGATGAACGGACGACCGAGTACGTTCTGTTGGAGAAGGAAGGGTGATGAACGGTCTGGTCGTCATCCTATATCATCATGTGGTCCACATTATGTACGTGGAACGGAATGGTTGCAAACAAATTAAATCAGATGGGCAGTTCATGAGGGTCACCGTACCATAAACAATACTCTTTCGTCCTGCTAAGATTGTTTTATTTTATCTTTTCGAGAATTCTGCTTAA